GATGGGGTCTCACTATGTAGTTGAGACTGACCTGAAACTCACTATGTAGCCCAGGCTGGTCTTGAACTCACAATGATCCTCCTGCCTCAGCCTCCCAAGTGCTGGGATTACAAGCATGTACCATCACACCCAGCTAGGTTAGTCTTCGTAGAAGCAAAAAATTAGAATATGTTTCTTGGTTTTCTAATAAAATTCAAAAGTGTGACTAACTGCTCAAAACTGATTAACTCTTTGAATCTCAGTACCCCTGAGGGAAGGAAACCATAATTATATTTCACGGATGATGAGAAGAAGGCAAAGAGGGTAATAACTTGTCTGTATTCAAATAGCAAAAGGCAAATCTAAACTTAAGAAGCTACACGTGGCTGCTCCAGAGTCCACGTGATGAATCCATCATACAGTAGTGCTATACAAAGGTTCTCGCCCGAAGAAGACAATCATAAACATTCTTAGCTAATTTTTAAACCAGAGTTTCTCAACCACAGCACAATAGACACTTGGGGGTCAAATAATTCTTTGTGTCGTATGCATAGCAATTTCTTTAGCGACATTCTTAGCTTAGTTTAGCCACTTGATGGCTGGTGGCACATTCCCCAAGTTCTGACAAGGAAAATGCACCTAGACATTGCCAATTGTCTGCTTGAAGGCAAAATTGCCACTGGATGAGAACCACTGGTATACACTGATGCCTAATAGATACAAAGTGAGGTTTTTAACATCTTCATCAATAAATTATGTGTGACTAGAGGGAGAAGAAGTTCAGTATCTATAAAAACAGTTGAGTTAATCAGCAAGCTACCTGAGCAGTAGAGGGTACACTGAAGGGTGATTACCTGATGGCCCTCTGTATTTCATCAGCAGGGAGGGTATGATTTTTCGAAGGGTCAGTAACCACAAACCAGAATGACACCCTCTGGGTTACATTGCAAAGTAGGACGTGGGAAATTCTGCAGATAAAGGGAAGAAAAAAATATATTAGAAGAATAGCATCCCAAAGCAGGTCTGGTGGCACACTTATAATCGCAGCTACATAAGAGGCTGAGGCAGGAGGACTACAAGTTTAAGCCCAGTCTGAGTAACTGGACAAGTTCTTGTCTCAAAATAAAATTAAGAAGGCTGGGAATGTAGCCCAATGGCAAGTATGAGGTTTTGGATTCAACCCCTAGTACTGCAAACAAAAAGAATAATGAATCATCCCAAATAATATTAAACTGTACATTTTGGTGCAGTTACTATCTTACAAGGTATCTTGGTTGTCTGAAGAGTCATATCCAACACTTGAAGGAATACGGTAAGAAAAATTATATAGGAAATTCTAATTGTTGCAAAATCACATGCTTGAACATCATTCCTTATAAGGAATGATAAGGAATCCCTATTCAAAACAAAACAAAACAAAACAAAAAGAATTAGGCAGTGGAGAGCTAAAGGGATCTCCTCCGTCACATACTGGCTGTCAGCCTCTCGGTTTCCTCAATACTGGGCTTTTCTTTGAACAACCGAACTCTGTGGTTTCCCCATGAAGTGTATTGGTGCCCTACCCATTCTGCCCTCTCACAGCCAAAAACATCTGTTCTGCATGCTCTAGATTAAATACTTGGTTGATTTGCCTCTATTTCTGTGCCTCTCGCTACCCCCAAATTTGGAACCATCCCAAGAGGTGCATTCTGCATGAGATTTTGAGGAAAAGGTTCTCAAGACCAATTGTTTTCCATCACCTTGGACAGATCTCCACATTTAAAAGCTGTACTCAAATAACCAGTGGCATTTGAAAACAGTGTTTTGTGGTTCCATGCTTTTCAACAGCAAATTGGAATTAACTCACTACATTTTAGACACATGATTTTCAGTAAAAGTGAAAAGAGAGAAATGGCATTAGAGTTGAGAGAAAAGATTAGATTAGAAATGAAAGAGGAGAAATGTCATTAGTGTTGACAAAAAAGACACCTACACAGGCCGGGCGAGGCGGCGCATGCCTGTAATCCCCAGCACTCCGGAGGCTGAGGCAGTAGGATCGCTGTGAGTTCGAGACCGGCCTGGGCTACATAGTGAGTTCCACGCCAGTCTCAACTACGTAGTGAGATCCTGTCTCAAAAAAAAACAAAAACAAACAAACAAACAAAAAAGACACCTACACGTGGACGCGCGAAGGCTGAGCATTACAGGAGAAGCCGCATCAAATCAACATGGCGGGCGATAACACGCACATCTTGGATGGTTTGGGCCATTTCCTCAATAGCTAACGTGCCAGAGGCGGCGTCAGCATCCATCGCACCAGACTGACACGCTCGGCACCTTACGGATGCTGGTGAATCGTTTATCGGACTCTCCCGGAAAGAGGC